AAGAAGAAGAAGAAAAGCGCTGTATTAGGAGCAATATGGCTGGCACTGTCCTAAGCATGTCACCAAGATGAACTTCATTAATCCTCACAACTTCATGAGGCAGGTGACAGGATCATGCCCAATAGGAAGGGAAAAAAAAGCAAGGTTGAGGGGCGTTGGGTAATTCTCGCCAAATATCCCACCGCCACTAAATGACGGAACCAGATGCGAACTCGGCAAGACTGGGTCCAGAAGCCGCTGCTTTCCTCCTCATGCCCTTCTGTGACTACTGAAAGGCCCAGAAGGAACCACCCCTTGTTCCTTCTTCCAATAGTGCATGCACCGGGATGGAGAGAACTTGGTTCCATTAACCGTCGTAATGATCAAATCTAGTCTTAGAAGACATTTATTAGAAATACATGCTTTCTATAAGAAAGGAAATACTTTCTCTAAGTATTTCTTCATTGAGGGGGCGCCTGGCTGGCTCAGTCAGTTAAGTGTCTGCCTTTGGCTTGGGTCATGATCCCAGGGTCCTGGGATCGAGCCTTGCATCGGGCTCCCTGCTCAGCGGGGAGCCTGCTTTTCCCTATTCTCTGCCTGCAACCTCCACTGCTCATGCTCGCACTCTCTCTCTCTCTCTCTCTCAAATAAATAAATAATCTTAAAAAATATATATACGGTTTGATCAGGACGTAAAGCCAGCAACATTTCTACAAAACCAAGTCAAGTACAGCCTACCCATAGAGATGCTATGGTGATGGCAGAGAAAATACTACATTATCATAAGGGACAGAAATAACTACTTCCAGGAATAAATCTGGACTAGGGAAATGGGACTGGGCAAACAGACATACAAGAATGTATGCACAGGACTCGATGGCTTCCCATAGTAATGGGATGCTGCTTTGGAGATCACGGGCTCTGGTTTCAGTCCTTACTGACCTGTGACAGCTCTGAAAGTGAGGTTTATTACTAAAACATATAAAACATACTGAGCTTTAGTTTTTCCAACTCTGAAAATGTGAGGACATGGCAGGGGGTTGTTCTGATGATACAGTGAGAACTGGCAGGGAAATAAAGCACTTTGAAATAAAATCACTATGTTCTCTAACCCAATTATTACTTATGAACCTATTTAATATGCTCGCTATTGATTAGAAGATCCAACATTCTACATACCTAATTCTGAACGTTATCTTAGATTTTAATCTTTTTCACATAGCATGTCAATCTCCAAATAAAATTGCCCTGTTGTGACCTTCAGGCCCACATTTGTTTCACTTGAACAAACTAGAGTTCATTGCTATTCTCAGGCTATAATGAAAATTAAGGCTATTTCTGTTTCTTTCACATGCCCCATAATTACACAATTAGAATTAGGAATTCTATTATCGGAATGTTAGTTGTAGTAATGTTCAGCATACCATGCAAATTTTGCTGAAGTACACTTAATTTGACTGCTAAAATGCATGGTATCTCAAAGGTAGGATTTGCATTAGGAAACTCATAAAAAGCAATTCTTAGAAAAACTTGAAACTAAAATCCTTCACAGGAGAGAGTGGGTACTCACGTTTCCTTTGACCACATAATTAGAATCATTCTTGATGTCTCTGGCTAGACCAAAATCACAAATCTTTGTGATTCGACCATGAGTAAGGAGGATATTTCTAGCAGCCAGGTCTCTGTGAATACACTATTAGGAGAGTGAGAGAGAAAAGAAAACCATTTACATTTATTTTAAACTCTTCAGGAATGAAAACTATGTCCAACACATTCTAGAATGCTGCTCTGTCACACAAATCCAGTACCTCGGCTCTCCAATGAAACTACTCGGTGCACCAAAAATAAAGATCTAAATTATGCTTTGAATGATGTTCAGAATTTGTGTTTCACATCGTTAGGACCTTAATTACGATAATCACGTTCCAAACCAACTCGAATGGACTTTTTTTTTTTTCCTTAGGACTGCTTTCATTCATAGAAAAACACATTATAAATAGTCCTATCATATTTCTTAAACCGAAAACTCATTCTGCATGCCTCTCTTCGAAGGTCCTTTTACAGAGTTTTTAAAACATCTTTGCAACTCCAATTCAATGTTTCCCAAGGACACAGGGAAGGGGTTCTGTACTGCGGCCATCCTGTATCACACTCTTTCCGTTTGGTCACTGTTGGGAAATGTCACCATTGACACTGAAGGGTGGGATCCGTTACCTCCTGCTAGTCTGCTAGTCCCATTTGCTAAGGAAATCCTCTCACCCTTCCAGAGACTATGTTCCTCGCTTTGGTTCCATCATTCTCTTCCCATCCTTATCTTTTCCCCAAATATTTATTATTCTCTGATTCCTCATTCCCCCACACTTTCATGAACCCATACAATATCTGAGGCCTTTCAATAAAACCCAAGTGTGTCCTTCACCAAGCCCAGCACCTGCCATGAGGCACCCCCTCCTTTTGCTGATAAAATCATTATCTATTTTCTAGGAGCAGCTCCCATATCCTGAAAGCCAAAATTTTTAAATGAATTCACTGCATTTTAAAAAAAAATTTTTTCATAGAAAACTCATTTAGGCCTGCACTTTAAAGCTTATAAATGAGAATAGGAATTCCAAAGAGAGAGCAGTTGGAGCATGAAGAAACTAAATTTCCTCTATTGTGGGTTACCACACTTCCAAACGACACTGTGTATTCTAACCAGGGCTCTAAAAGGCTCCACGGGGGTGGGGGTGGGGGCGGGGCATTCTGCTCGGAGAACGGCCACTCACATTCTTGGAGGCGAGGAAGGCCATGCCCTTGGCCACCTGGTAAGAAAAGCTCAACAAGTCCTCCAGGTCTAGAGCCAACTCGTCATCTTCCATGATGGCGGGAGTCACATCTCTTTCTATGTATGAGCCTGTCAGGAGAAGGAGGACTTTCTTAGCAATTAAACCTCAGAGCTTGGAAAACAGAAGACAGTAACAAGGATACCAAGGCTGGTAATGAAGGAGCTTGACTATGCAGGCAAGTCACCTGCCCAGCGTTGAGGAAAGGTAAGTGCCCAAGCTAGTATTCACAATCTGGGGCTTCAGGTGAGAAAGATGGTGAATAAATACAAAAATATATTTTTTGATATGCAAAACACGTATCTGATACACATGTTATTTTCATATATGCAGTGAGACACTCCTATACAGTAACAAATGCTCTGACCCCAATACCTACGTGGAACCCTAACTGCCACTGACCGGTGGCACTGGGCATTGGGCCCTATTGGAAAAGATAACCAATCACTACAGGGCAAACTGGTACATTTTACCGTGGTATGAGAAATCCTGCGCAAATGAAGTTGTTTTTACTGTTTGATCGGTACCCACCTATTCTTGCCGATCTCCTTTTGTCCGCCTTGGTCGGCACAACATAGGAAACTCCGGGTTTCATGTCCATGTATTCATTAGTACTATCATTGCTGTAAGAGATGAAACATCCATCCATCAAATCAGGACTGAATAAAACGGGAGACGGGGGGAGTACCCATGGGGCAGGCTCTATCTCCCCACCGCCTTTTTTACTTAAGAGGCTGATTTTGTTCAAAGAAAGTATTGCCAAGTTTGAATGCAGAAAATCTTGTTCATAAGATAGGATTTTTTAATATTCAACATTAGGGTCCAACACCCGGGAATGAGACCGTCTTTTTGTGTTCAATCATCGATGGGACTCAGGTTAGAAATATCCCATCTCTTGACACCAGGGATTTAATGGGAAACAGAGAGCCAAAAACATTATCCCCCATTCCCTCAAACTCTCTAAATTAGCCCCAAGAGACAAGATGAAAGAGACAAGGGAGACACAAAGACCAAGAGCTTCCGAGATGTGGGATGGGGGGGAAGGCAGGGATCGTTAACATATAGCGACTGGTGGAAGAAGGTTTGAAAAAACCAAGTTTAGTTCAGATAAACACCAATAATTTGGATGATTTTCTGAACCATCTGGACCTCTTGAATCTGCAACATTTGGCTGGAAAGTCTTCAAGATTTCTAGTACTTCCTGCTTCTGATTAGCATAGAAACACTATGACAACAATCTCCTTCGGAGTATGCTGGTGGTTCCAGTCCCATATGGGATCCCAAAACACAAAGAACACCACATCAGATTGAACAATTTGGGCCATTATTTCAGAAAGTTGAGAAACAGATATGGGGCCAAGGTTTCAGAAATAAGGCAAAGTGGCTCATTTACTCACACAAAGAGCATATGCTCTGGAGAAACTAACAAAAGGTGGTTTGTTTCGTATTTTACTCCCACTTGACACCACCCAAGTCTATAGGACTTAAAAAAAAAAAAAAAGGTAAAATAAAAAGGCTTCATCTGGGGTTTAAAACTTTAGCCAGGGGTACAGAAAAGAGCTTTAAGAGGTAACTGCCCATCAGTAATAGTTGCTAAGGTCTTCTCGAGGGCCCGGAATGAAGTTTAAGAAATAAAGTCCTGCCATCTCAAAATGCAGGGGACAGAATGAATAAAAAGGAGAGGAGACCCTCCAAACAACTTCAGAAATATAAAGTATAAGGGACTGGACATGATGAATAGGATTTCTATTGGGCGGGGCGATCTAGGAAATCTTCCTCAATGGTGGCTCTAACCTTTGGAAAGAACAGGCCAGGCATGGCAGAGAAGAATGTTATTCTGACTGTAAGCCACACTAGCTATTCTTAGAGGAATCTGAAGCTCTTTATCCACCATTCAAATTCAGAACAATATTAAAGATGAAAGTGATGAAAATAAGGTACAGAATTGTTAAAAATGTGTTAGAGTCACTGTGCCTTTTTATAGCATGAGGAGTTTAAAAAAAAAAGGGGGGGACAAGGTATACAGAAATAATTCAGAGGTAGATGGTGAGAAACCCATGTGCCGAGATATGTTCAGAGCTCTCTTGCCACCCTGTTAAAAGTTTTCAAGAAATTTACCAAGACAACTTGACAGGTTTTAACATTTTCCCTATAAGCAGCATCTCACTGTAGAGATACATAAAGTAGCAAGCCCAACAGAATAAACAAAATGACACAAGAATAGAGCCATGGGTGCCTGGGTGGCTCAGTGGGTTAAAGCCTCTGCCTTCGGCTCAGGTCATGACTCCAGGGTCCTGGGATCGAGCCCCGCGTCAGGCTCTCTGCTCGACAGGGAGCCTGCTTCCCTTCCCTCTCTCTCTGCCTGCCTCTCTGCCTACTTGTGATCTCTGTCTGTCAAATAAATAAATAAAATATTAAAAAAAAAAAAAGAATTGAGCCATGATAAGAGAAACAGGTATAGAATTCATTCCACGGAACAGAATTAACACTTAGAAAAAAATGAAAGATGCATTAAAAAAAAAATCAATAAAAAATCTAAGTTTAACACTACTTAAATCTTTACAAACACTATTCTAACTTTCCAAATTGTTGATGACACCTAAATGATTTAATAATTCTGATTTGGCGCCTTAAAGCACCTCTGTTCGTTTGTTTAAAGAATCAGCCTTGATTGTAAACCCTTATGACCCCACGAACTGCCTATCAACAGCTATTTATGTAAATCAGCCTCACCACGAAGACTCCTTTGAATGCAGAAGGTTCTTATAAAGTGCCACTTCAGCGTGATCTTCCTGCTTTGAGCAAATAAATGAATCACGTTTTCTTCGCAAAAAATTCAAAAGATCACCATAGCAACAGTATTCAGTAATGACCAGGGTGGGCCCTACAGGCATATAAAGGAAGGTTAAAAAGAGGTGAGTTTTATAGAAACAATACCCATAAATACACTCAGGGGTGATCATAACCATTTTCATTCCGGTTCATTGCTACGCCTACTGAGAACCAGCGTTCTGGGGAGCACAGCTCCCCAGGTAAGCCTCCTTGGACCTGATGTCCTAAGTGATGTCCGTGCTCGGAGGCCCAGCTCGACTGCCAGAGTCACACACAAGAGTTACTGCTTTCGACATTATACTCTTAACAAATTTCCCACATGAACCCTTTGGGTCGCTTGTTTGTAGTGGAGCTTCACGCGTTCTCAATGTCATTGTGGAAATGACAAAGGGCACAAAGTGGGGCATAATAGGAAAACCAATGGCACAGAACAGCCAGCTGAGCCGAGCCCCAGTGGGCGGGCGAGCACCTGAGTGGCAGGGCGTCACCTGCCTCCCTCAGTGCGACCTGTCTCCTCAGTGTGACCTGCCACCACAGTTTTCCATGCGGTGAAGGTGCCTCACGCTGCCACTCTCAAGTTCAAAGGCCACAAACCAACTTGGGCAGAAACTTCCATGAACAAGTCATGATGTGGAAGCCACGTGTATGGGGCTGTTTTAAGAAATTCTCTAAGCCTTCAACTTGACCGTGAATCCCTATACATCTCGAGGAAGAGCTCATGTTCACATCTTTGCTCCTTTAAGACCAAAATGTGAAACATCACAGACATCCTTGATGGAAGGCTCTGCTTCAGAATTGCTTTCAACTGGAAATTCAGTTTTTTACCGAAGTGAAGTGTTTGCCTCATTTGGTGTGTATTTGAGAACTGGGAGGCTTCAAAGTCTACCTTTGATTGTGGTATGCAAATGAACAGTAACCCTTTAGTGACTGACTACGATTTGGCAAACTATCAAACTTGCAAAAGAAGAGCTTTCTGGGTGAGAGGAGAGACGTTCTCAAGATACTCAAGAGGTCCCTGTCGATGCAACGGCTATGACAATAACCAGGGTGTGTCCTGGGCTGTCCCACCCCATGATGATAAAACTAAAATACACATTCTTAAGAACAACAGCTTTTGGGGGGAAGGGATGTGAATCTAGCAAGAGGTAGCAACCTGGGTGAAAATCTGGCAAGAGTATGATATAATCAAGCCCTGTTGAAATCATATTAAAATCTCCCCTCTTTTGATAATTTGAAAGATAATAAAAGTTAATTTGGTCACAGTCTTACCTCCAACGGTGCACGCTCCAAGAAGATTCACAATATTCATGTGATTACCAAGGTAACTCAAGACTTTGAGCTCAGACATTAGGGCTTCTCGTTCAGTTAAATGGGCACTTGCTAAAATCAGAAGAATGTTTCATTTTAGCAAAAAGCAAACACAGCAAGCCAATGCTGAGGGCATGGAGGAGCCTGGGGAAACTTACGTTTGAGCATCTTAACGGCGACAGTCATGGCGGCATCCGACTTAATGAGGCCATATGCGGTAGCCTCAACCACTTTCCCAAAGGCCCCAGCACCCAGAGTTTTTCCTGCAGAGAAGAAGAGAGTAAATGGTGGTGGTGGGACCAAAGAACCACCTGGGTAATTTCAAAGTCAACAATTAAGGAATTTTTAAGGAATTAAGGACAAGTCTGTCTAGAGACATTTCCCCATTAATGCACTTTATGCGAAATCTATCAAAAGCAGTGAAATGTCACAGAAAACAGTCACTGGTCTCGGATGAAAAGAACAAATGAAGCTAGTGGGGTTCGCTAAAGTCATTGTTATGTGCACACAAAAAGGTTACATGGAAAGCCCATTTTCATACTGACCAAAACTCAGCCTGTTTCTGGGAAACTCCCATTTATGATCATAAGGAAGTTGTGTTGGGTCTATGTACACGTAATTGTTTCCATTTATCTCCTCAACAACCTTCCACTGTACTTCATACATGGGTTTCTGGTCGGGGGGAGAAAGGGAGAGATACACCATCTTTTAATGATTAATGTTTCAATCACTGCAGCCTTGAGGGTGGAGAACAAATGAAGGATTACCTGTAAATATTTGTAGGTAAGAATCATCACGATAATGCACATCATACCAGCTGCGATCACAAAACCAATCAGCAAAGGTGTGAACAGGGTGTGGGGATGGATTTGTTCTAAAATGAAAGGGGAATGTGGAATCACAACCTATTAGCATGGATGGCTCATCACCACAACCACCTCACCCCAAACTCAGCCATCCCCCCACCCTACAGCCCATGGGCAGGGTTCAAAGCCAAGCGCATCTCATCAGCTCCTTGCCTTGCTAATATCACCTTATTCTTATGATTCAAAGGAATCTTTTGAAATAACAACTTGAAACCAGACTGCTGTGGAAGCTGAGATTTCTGTGGCACAAGAAGAATTTTATGCTGTTTTGTCCGTGAAAAGCAACATTTGATGAACTTTGTACTTCAACCAAATTCCTGCCTCAGACAACCTTAAGAAGTTTCCTTTATGGATAGTTTCTATTTTCTTCTTTATGCTTTCCTGTATTGTCCAAATTTTTTACACTGAGCAAGAATTTCTTCTACAACCAAGAAAACATGTTTAAAGTGTTCTTTTCATTGCCAGTCCGAGGAAAAAAATCTGGATGAAGAACAATATAAGATTCTTCCCCTCATTACTCAAAAACTGGAAGTGTACCTCTCATTGGCACACACCTTCGCCAGTTCGAGAAAACAAAAACTACGCCCCACGCAGGTGGGTGCCCGGTTTCTTTGTCGTCTAACTTCATACCAATTCATCGATTTGCCCACAAGGATCATTTAACTTATGTTAGGAGAGCTAGTCCCTCATGAATCAAATTTTACAAACCTTAAAGAAATAGCTCAAAAAAAAAAAAAAAATAGCTCAGTGACATAACTTCATAAAAGGCAGTGTTCACTTTCAGACATAGTGTCTGGCAATGTGTTAAAATGCATGATTTTCAATAACTAAAACCTTAAATTGAATTTAGTTTGGGAGTGCCTGGGTGGCTCAGCGGATTAAAGCCTCTGCCTTCGGCTCAGGTCATGATCCCAGGGTCCTGGGATCGAGCCCTGCATTGGGCTTGCTGCTCAGTAGGGGACCTGCTTCCTCCTCTCTCACTCTGCCTGCCTCTCTGCCTACTTGTGATCTCTGTCAAATAAATAAATAAATAAGATCTTTTATAAATAAATAAATAAATTGAATTTTAAATTTTAAGTTGCCCTAATTCTTGTTATATTTGGCTATAAGGCAAATGCACTTCCCTATTTTCTCTCTGTACCCCCTTTTTAATGAGAATGACTGGAAATATGCAATTCACTATACATACATACACACATGCACATGCACACACATACATACATATGGGCGCATGCACATAAATGCATATGTGTGTGGTTAAGATCACTGCATATGTGTTATCAATGAACTAGTACAGAATGAAACTTAGTGAGTTTGATGACAGCATGGGACAATGTCGAGATTACCAGAAATGACATGGCCATTGATGGAATGGACTTAAAATCATGACTGATATGGTAGGCAGAGCCTAAACATCCCCTTAAAATTGGATTAAAAAGAAATATACCTTTGCTGTTACCTTTAAATGCAAAGTTAAAAAAGGCAGAACTCCTGCCCACATTGTTGTAAGCCCTACACTCGACCGTGCCGTTGTGCTTGAATGCACTATAATCAATGGAGCTCTGAACCACAAGTTTTCCAGATGGTGAGACAGAGGAGTTTTGCAACTGCACATCCATTGGCCCAACAGGAAGGGAACATCTAGAGGGAAGAAAAGAACAAAAAAACCGCTCTATCACACACACTTGACCTGGCGTACTTTTACAACAAAGCTAGTAGGTCATCATCAGAAATTTCCTCTTATAACCAAGAGAGTGGGGACGGATGGGCCCTTCCCTGGTGCCGTAAGCAAGAAGAGAATGGTGGAAAAGAAGAAACAGGGAGTGAGACAGGAGTCTGAATCCTTATTCAAACACCTTATGGACCAGATACTTAAAACTCTCCAGGACTCAGTTCCTTCAGCTAGAAGATGGGGACAGTAAGACCCACGTTAGAGGGTAACTGAAAGGGCTGGAAATAATGGAAGAAAAGATGGCTGGCACACAGTAGACATGATAAAGTAACTGTGAAAGTGGACAAGAGGGCTGAAGAAAAGAGTCGAGAGGAGGCAAGAGTTTAAGTCTACAAGGATGAAGACAGGGCGGCTCCCAACACCCCAGCAGCTGAGATCCTGAGCCAGGTTTTATGGAGGAGACAGAGGCTGGACCACTGGCTTGTACTCCAAGTGGCAAAGCCCATCAGGTGCAAAGCCCAGAGGACCCCATTTTAAATTATGTCCCCCATATACCTAACACTTTTCTAGTCGCTTACCTCACTTTATTTTCCTCGTTAGCACTTAACTGTTTATTTTGTCTTCTTCTCACCTCTACCCCTTAGATATGAACTCACAAAGCAGGCACTCAGGTGCGTTTTGCTCACTAGACCAGCATCTGGCATACAGCTGGTGCTCCATAAGTGTTTGCTGTATGGGCGACAGTGACTGCTGGGGTTGCCTTCATGGTACAGGCTTTTCCAGGGCTCTCGAGTCCTCCTTACTGTTTCCCAAAGAAAACATTCCACTAAAGGTCCTCAGAAAACAACAATCCTATGTAACCTCTTCCAAGTTGTTGTGATAAAAAGGACTACTCCATGAAAAAATAAAATTTCTATTATTATCCTGACTATTCAATTGTGATGTTACACTGGGCTTTTTAAAGCCTGAGCACAAAATAGCATTTGATGGATAAAAACAGCCAGGGTGACCCCATTTTCATCTTCAGGTAATGAGGAAGGACAATTTAAGGCTTAAGTGCAGACCGGAAGGGAGAGGAAGCACAATGCCAGATGTGTTCTGCTCAGGGGCTGGGTGCCTAATCAAGGAGAAAACCTTTTAAAAACACGGAGCTTACAAATGCCGTACGTATGTTGTAACTGCACGATCATTACTTTTTGGTAACTTGGCAATTAACTTCTGAGGCAATTTTTTTTCATGATAACTACAGCCGCATTTCCCACACACATTGCCTCCTGTGTATAGAATGGAAATCTAATTACTCTGTCCTGGAAAATTGCTTTATCTACCTGCAGGCTAGAAATTGCATGATAAATCCAAAAGATAACCATCAAAAGAAGAGAAGTCACTCAGTAATCATTTTTCAGCAAACAAAATTAACGTCTACCACAAAAAATACAGCAATTATGCCCCCCCCCAAAGCCACATGGATAGAAAAATATAATCAAACAAATGTAATCAAACAAATTAAAAAAAAATCTGAAAATCTATCTGACACGCAACTACACTGCAGCCCTTCCCTCAGGTGTGTCAAGTAGTACCCAAAATAATCCTCTCACCTCGGCTCGGTTCCTGGACAAAAATACCAATCTACTGTGGGCTCTGGGAACCCAGATACCACACACTGGAGCATGCCATTCACGAGACTTTCATGACTCAGGATTTCTGGTTTGGCTACAGGAAGAGAGAAACGGCCATTCGTCAGACTGCTGGAAAACTTCATCACAACTTGCCCCCCCCCCCCACCCACACACACACAGTTTTCGAATCCTCAGAACTTTCCTTGAGGCTGAAGAGGAGGACCCTGTGGGAACACGTTCAAGGGGGGAGAAATCTTAAGCTGTGTGTGGGAGGCACAGGGAGGCAGAGGTGCAGATCAGACCAGGAAAGAATTTCACAGTTAGAGATGCCTGGCCCCAGTGTAGACCGTCTGTAATGCAGACATGGGGGTCCCTGAGAAACTTCCTGTTTGGGGACGATGGAAGTGGGGTTCGCAGGACCACTGGCCGGGTTTCTGTCTCCAGAGAGGCAGAATCTGAAAGACTGCTTCTAACCCAAACTTTAGGATTCCAGACTGTTGTGAAGGTGGAAATCCTGTTTAAGATTCCTGCCATCAGAATTTCAAATGACTGAATCTGCCACAGGAATTTCAAGTTATGGTGCAGACTGGAGTAGATAAAATTAAGAGGACTTACAGGAAAAGAGAAGGGTCCCCTCCCCCGCCGCCCCCTCCTACAGGAATGTCCTTTCTGGGGTGGGGAGGGGCAGAAGGGAGTGGCTGGAAATAAAAGAAGTGAATCACCCTATTTAGAGAAGCCAAAACATAAGAGTAGAATACAATATGGGCTTTTAACTCCAAATTTGTATTTCAAATGCAAAATATGAACAGAAAATTATAACAGGAAACCAGCCCAAGAGTTTTATTCATACATACATCTAAACCTGTGTACAATCACTGAAAAGCTAAGTTGTATCAGCAGGAATGCTCTAATTTGACATTTCTGGGTAACGACAATAATCAACAGGTATTCAATCAAGAGTGCCTGAAGCACTGCGAATTCCTGAGATTATTTTCTAAAGGGAAAGGAAAATGAACTTAATACATTTGGTTGTTCTTTTTTCTTTTTTTTTTTTTTGAAGATTTTATTTATTTATTTGAGAGAGAGGGAGCACATAAGCAGGGGAGCGGCAGGCAGAAAGAGAGGGAGAAGCAGAACCCCTGCTGTGCAGGGAGCCTGGGACTGGATCCCAGGATCCCGGGATCATGACAGGAGCCAAAGGCAGACGCTTAACTGAATGAGCCACAGGCGCCCAATTACACTCAGCTGTTCTACTTGAAATATATCTGAAGGATTCTAACCCTTTAAGAATAAGTAAGCTATGGGACGCCTGGGTGGCTCAGTTGGTTAAGCAGCTGCCTTCAGCTCAGGTCATGATCCCAGTGTCCTGGGATTGAGTCCCACATCGGGCTCCTTGCTTGGCGGGGAGCCTGCTTCTCCCTCTGCCTCTGCCTGCCATTCTGTCTGCCTGTGCTCGCTCTCTCTCCCTCTCTCTCTGACAAATAAATAAAATCTTTAAAAACAACAACAACAACAACAAAAAAGAATAAGTAAGCTAAGCCGTAGAATCTGACAGCAGGGGCGGGGATGCACTTGCCCCGAGTCCTTAGTCTGCCATCAGGACAGAACTCTGGGAGCCGCACGCAGGGCGGGCACACCTGCACAAGGGCTCCCGCGTTCGCCAATCCTCTGCCCTCCATCAAGTCTCCTCATGAGTCATATGAGAACAACAACATTACCATCTCATAGCGATACTACGAGAATTAAATGAGATCGAGTCCACGAAGAAGCAGGATTCTCAGATAGGAAACAAATTTATTCATTATTAATTTATTAACGATTCAGTTACTATTTTCTATTCAGAGTACCTCCCTTTGGTTAATCAAGTCTGCTACCAATTAAATTAACTGTCTTTGCCACTCTGAATATTCTCTTCAGTGATCTAAAAACGGCTTAAGATAGTGTGAGAATTAATGTGCTTGTGTTTTAACCCCATGCACTGGGACTCTGACCTCAATCATGTTGCAACGGATAGGAAAAATGGAGGTGGTGAGAAGGCAGGACTGATAGATCAGAGGCTTAGGGGCTGATTTCCGCAAAGCAAGCGGGGGCACTGTAGAACAGCCTCTCAGCACCTCACCTCCTTGCAGGCAAAATGGCTTGGCGGGGAGCAGAGTCCACATGCGTGGCACACCCACCTGTCACGGAGCCTGGCCCTGTGGATGGCCAGGCCATTTGGCTCACACACACACACAAGAGCGGCACTGCAAAGCGATCTCAAGGTAGGGGCATCCTTGAGAGTTTGGCTCCAATGCCAGCTTTCACAAATAGAGCAAGAAGACGAACCACCGTCTTGCGAAAGCATCCATCTGGCAAGTCTCATTTAATTATCATGGGCAACTGTGTGATGGGGCTGAAAAGTAGGACAGAACACAAAAAAACAGTGGAACTTTAGGAGAATGCTATTTGCTGAAGACAGCAGGCGCCATAAGGCAGGTCTCTCTGTGACTCTTCTCAAGTGTCATCTCCTCTTCCAAGCCATCCTCAATTCTCCAAAGCCAAGTTGGTCGGTCTCTCCTCCCTATTCCCACAGCGCGTTAGAGCACCTGACCCTCTTATACAACATCCTGGTCTGCCTCCTCCATCAGACTCTATGTTCTCCAGGGAAGAACCCCATCTTACCACTGGTACCTCGGAGTAGAGTCTGACCTGGGGCAGAAACAGGGTAAGAGCTGCCTGAACGATGAAGTCCCCTCCAAAGAACCAAGATCCTCAGAGTTGAAGGAATCCTATCAGAATCCCAAGAAGGGACCTGGGAGAAGAGCCTGATGGTGACTTTGCTGGGTAGGGATGCAATTTCCACTCTTTTATAATAGAGGGCCATCAGACTGCCACAAGTCTATCTGGCTGTGTGACTTTTGCTTAAACACCGAGATTAATGGGGAGAGGGTTGGGTCAACACAGAGATGCCAAAGATAACTGGATAGGACATAGATGGGTCATAGATCAAGGTCCTAAGACCAATTCCCTCATATCAACATTCCCTCCTAATGCCACACAACAGGATTTTTCAGAGTGGAATTAAATATGAACTCAATAGAAAAAAAAAAAAAAAAGCTGAAGGGGTACCTTAAGATAATAACAATGGTTACTCCCGGGTACTCAGGGTTATGGATAGCTTCTATTCTTTTGACTTATTTTCTAATTTTTTTTTTACCACGAACATGCAGCTAGCTAATAATGAACCGATAAAACATTTTTTAATTAAAAAAATTGGACCAGCTCAAAATTACATAATCAGTTACATTTCGCTCTGGCTACAAATGCTCCAGATCCAAGCCTTCCAGCGCGACACCTGGCAGCAGTTACACAAGGGCCAGGCCTGGCGAGTGGCGTGGTCCGGCTGGCCTACTTGTTCCCGAGTGCTGGTTAACTGGGCAGGTTTTTAAGCTACTGTCTCAGGCGGGTTGTAACCCAAGGCTAGCAGAGCAGCTTCTGTCCTGTTGGTCCTTAGCCTGGCCAACCAAGCTCAGAAAGTCTTTAAACCTTAATGTGCATTCGAAGGACTAAGAAAAAAAATTAAAACAGACATCCCTGCCCTCCCCCACCCTCCAATTCCAGAGATCCCAGATATACAGAACGCTGAGGATCTGACCCAGCAATGTGTCTTTTTATCGTACCTACAAAAGACCCTGATCAGGGCAGGGACAAGGGTGAGGCAAGAGAAGCCCGTAGGGTGTGGAATTTGAGAAGGCACCCACCCTCCTCAAGGTCTTGCAAATACAGGGCTGGCACCGTGAGTGAGTACCTCCTTAAATTTTACACCCCAGGCGCCTCACCCTAATCCCAGCCGTGTCCCTAACATTGGTGTTGACAGACCTCATTTTGAAAAGGCTAAATTACATGAGTACAGTTTCAGGTCTACATGGCAAGTTGCACTATGAAAATGTTTAATGCATAAAGAATGAGCTAGGTACAAATCTGGTTCCTAAAAATGAAAATCTGGGCTCATCTGCATTTTGTAAGTGCCTCAATGCACTGTGTAAGGCATTAAATATGCATTTTGCTTTTAAAGATACATAACTGCAATTCTCCAGGTTAAATCTGAGCTGTGGTTTCGGAGATATTCTGCAATCAGCACTATACCAAATGACACATTCCCTAATTCCTCCCAACTTGGAGGTTCAGATAAGCCTAAGAGGTGCATGAGTTATGTATTTCCTACGGAGATTAAGAAAATAGCCTTTTCTCCTTTCAAAGCATCGTGGACCTGAGTCATTCCAGTGTCTCCAACAACACTGATCAACTCGTAGGCTGATTTCAGAGTGCTTATGACTCCACGGAGAATTTATGGCTCATGCAATTAAAAATCCTAACCATTTGCCGATTTACCCCCAAAGATATGTGATCTTGAAAAATATTCCTTTTCGCCACCATCCTGTCCATACAGAAGACAAGAACAAAACAAATTTTTAAGAACACAGCACAGATAATGAGAGCTGGGGCGGGGGTGGGAAGAGAGGCACAAGCAACAGAGGGAAAGCATTTCTGAGCGGAGCTCCTCTCGCTCCTGACCACCTCGACCAGCTCCTGCCGTAAATGCACACTTGCCCACACACTACAATCAGCAAAGAACACAGACTGCAGCCTCCTAACAATAAAACACTCAACGAAGAGGGATCGTGAGGATGCATTTTGTTTTTACAATTGTGGGTCAGCTGGCGTTTAACGGACGCACAGCAATGCTTTGCAGCAACTGGACATGATCCGGGCCTGGGTCGAACTCCTGCCGCAACACCGCTGCGATAAAGGAACTTAAATCAGCTGCAACAGGCGTACGAAAAAATGCAGGTTGACTTTTACTTATATAAAAGTATACTTAAAAAAAAATCCCCAGAATAGATATTTTGAAAATACATTTTGTTTTTACACATTCCTTTTGGTTTTTGTTTGTTTGTTTGTTTGTTTTTTTGTCTTAAAGATTGCCAGGGGAGGGGGGTGCCTGGGTGGCTCAGTCGGTTAACGGTTCGGCTCTTGGTTTTGGCTCAGGTCATGACCTCAAGGCTATGAGATTCAGCCCCGCAGCATGGAGCCTACTTAAGATTCTCTCCCTCT